AGGAAGTCATCAGAAAGAAACTTTGTTAACCAAATGTGATTTTTTTACTGAGAATGAACTTTTAGATTTCTTTTATATTTTTTCTAATATTTTTAGGATAGAACATTGTGATAATAGTTATTTTGTAGAGTTGATTGATCAATAAATTTATTGTTTTTTGTTTTTGAGATGAGCTTATCTTTCTTAATTTACTTCCTTATTTTGTTTTGTTTTATTATGATATTTTTTTTTGTTACCTAGGGATGGGAAATCCATACGAAGATCTTTTCGCTATACTTTCTTTATAAGAATATTTATACCTAGTCGACGGAAACATACGGTAAAATATGTTTCCCATACTTAGGTATAGCTAAGATACTGCGAGCCTTTTTTTATTATGATATGTATTTACTTTCTGCTTTTAATTAAATTATTTTTTTATATTTTTTTAAATTAAATTATTTTATGAAAATAAAAAAAATAATTTTTATTTATTTAATTTGAAAAAAAATATAAAAAAATAATTTAAAAAAAAAAAGATTTTAATTTATATGATTAAAATTAAAAATATTTTATGGTAAGAAAAATATCAGAAGATGATTTAACACAAGAAAACACTTTTTCATTGTACAGAGATCCTAATCCTTTAGAAGTAAAGAAATATATGAAAATACAAGAAGAAGATCAGAAGATTTATGCTGTTCATAAAAATTTGTTAGACTCAGAAAAAAATTTATATGAAGAATTAAAATTTGATCAAAATGACATCCAAGTCAATGTCAAAAGAAAACTTTTACCTTTTCAAAAACAAGGAGTAGCATGGATGCTCAGCAGAGAACAATCAAAATTCAAAGGAGGAGTGTTAGCTGATGAAATGGGAATGGGTAAAACACTTCAAATGCTTTCTTTAATCTCTTTAGATCAGTTGGGTAGTACTACTTTAGTGATAGTTCCTTCTGTTGCTGTATCTCACTGGCAAGAAGAAATAAAAAACACTGAAATATATTTGTTAAATTTTTATGGCAGTAAAAGAGAAGTAAATTTTCAAGAAAATAAAATTAATTTAATTTTAACCACTTATGGAACGATAGAATCATTTTACAGAAGAAAAAGTAAAATAAATCAAAATATAAAATTACCTGCTTTAAAAAGAATAGTTTTGGATGAAGCACATCTAATAAAAGATACTAAATCATCTACCAATTCTGCTATTTCCAGTTTAGAATCAGAATATAAATGGGCAGTGACAGGTACACCAGTACAGAACAGAGTGTATGATTTGTATGCTCTGATCAAATTTCTAAAAGTAGATCCTCTTTCTTTCTATTTTTGTAAGAAATGTGAATGTAAATCAGTTCATTGGTTGAATTATAATTTAAAAAAAGAAATTTTGAAAGAAAATTTTGACAAATTTTTAACAAATCTTTCAAAAAAAGATTTTTTACAAAAAACAGACACAGAAGAATTTTTAAGGGTGGATGACAAATTTGGTAATCAAATAATTGTTAATAAACAAGTAGAAGAAAGAGTTTTGACCAGTAATAGGTTTTGTACCTGTGGCCATTTTAGTGCTATGCACTTTAATTGGTGGAATAGAAGGATTGTAAATTTAGTCAAAGAATTTGGGTATACCACTTTAAATGAAGAAATTTTTAACAATCTTAAAAAAATAACCAGTCATTTAATTTTAAGGAGAACAAAAAAAGAATTAAATTTACCTTTTAAAAAAATCACAAATATTTTTTTAAAAATGAGTGAGCAAGAAAAAGATTTTTATGAATCTTTGTATAAAAATACTAAAAAAAAATACAAAAGTTATCAAGTGAGTGGATCTAACAAATATATTCATATTTTTGAATTATTACAAAAAATGAGGATGTGTGTTGATCATCCTTTTTTAGTTAGTAAAGACAAATATTACGTATGTGGATATTGTTTCGAACAGCCTGATGATCCTATTGTAACTAAATGTAAACATTTATTCTGTAAAAATGAAGTAGAATTATTTGATGGAGAGTGTCCTATTTGTAAAACTAAGCTAAGTTTAGATTTTTCAGATTCAAATGAAATTTTAAAAATGTTAAATGAAAAAATGGCTGTGAAATTCAATCCTAGTGAGTGGTTTTCTTCAAGTAAAATAGAAAAATTATTAGAAATTTTAAGTAATACTTCTGGTAAAAGTGTTATATTTTCACAATACACTAGTTTTTTAGAAATAGTTAGATGGAAATTGGAAAGAAGTGGGTTTAAAACAGTGTGTCTTTATGGAAGTACTCCTTTGACACAAAGGAGTGCTGTCATTGAAAAATTTAACAAAACAGATGTAAATATTTTTTTAGTAAGTCTTAAGGCTGGTGGATTAGCATTAAATTTAACCACAGCCACTTCTGTTTTTATAATGGATTTATGGTGGAACCCTGCAGTAGAACATCAAGCTATAGACAGAATACACAGAATTGGTCAAAATAGACCTATTTCAGTTTACAAATTTATCATGAAAGACACGGTTGAAGAAAAGGTTTTAATTTTACAAGAAAAAAAAGAAGCTTTGGCAAGTACAGCTATAGATTTTGATGAGAATGCTTTTAATAAGCTGAGTGAAGATGATTTAGAATTTTTATTTTCATAAAATGACACTTTAATTTTAAGATAAAATGATATTTCGGTTTTTAAATTTATCATCACAAAAATATTTAATAAAATAAAAATAAAATAAAATATTAAATAAAATAAAAAATAATTGTTTTTTAATTCAATTTAAATAATTCTTTTACATTTTCTTCTTCAATAAAAACACAACTTACATATTCACTTTCGGGTGCAGCTGATTTTAAATCTGACATATTCTTTACAAAACAATATTCTAACCCTCTTTTTTCACATAAAATGGGTAAATGAGTTATTAAATCCATAGGAGTGGTATCAGCTGAAAGAACAAGCAATCCTTTATCACTGCTATTTACTTTTTTAGTGCAATGTTTTATTCCTCTTTTAATGTTATCTATGTTAGATTCTATGTACTTTTGAATTAATTTGAGAGATTGATCATTTATTAATGGATGAGCTATTGGTATCATTTACGTTAAGAAGGAATAATTATATTTATTTTATTTTTCTAAAAATGTTTAAAATTTTTATAAATTCTCAATTTTTTTAATTATTTTACATTTTTTAACTTTTTAAATATTTTTAAATTCTTAATTTTAATTTTTAAAAATATAAAATATAAAAATATAATTTTTTTACAAAAATAATTTTATGCCATGTTATGCAGAATATCCAAAGAAAACTCAAAAATACTTGACAAAATAATCACAAATTATTCTCCTAAAAACATAATAATAAACATAACAGAAGAAATCATCTTATTTCTTAAATTAGAAAATAACATCCTTTACTCCAAACTCAAATTACAAAACGATTTCTTTGACAAATTGTTAATTAAAGAAAACAGAAACATTTGCATTCCAAAAACAAATTTTTATTTTCCTGAGATGGAATTTTTAGAAATAGAAGCAAATTCTTACGAAATTATTTTTTTTTGGAAATTAAAAACGCATGAAAGAAAGAAAACATTTTGTATCATAGAAAGAGAACCATTCAAGATTGAGTTTGAGATGAGTAGATCATTCAAGTTAGATTCATTCTTGCTACAAGAAATAATAAAACATTTATGTTTTACTGAGATAGGCATTTCTTTTAATGAGTTTATTACTTTTTACAGCATAGAAAGTCACATGAATTCATTTGTACAGATAAAAAATGAAAGTGAGTTTTATGATTTAAGTATTTCTGTTTTGAAAAGAAGTTTAAAGAATGCTGTTGATAAAATTATATCTCATTGTGATTTTTTTATAGATGAAGAGAATTGTAAAATGTGTGTTTATTATGAAAATGAAAATATTTGTTTTACTCATCTTATGCCTATTTTTATAGAAAAGAAGAAAGAAATTGTTGATTCTTTAAGGACCCCCCTTACAGAATAGACATTTGTTAAATTTTTAAAAATTTATAGAAATTTGTTAAACTTTAAAAATTTATTTTTGACAGAATAAANAATAGAAATTTATTTTTATTTTTCGTATGAATTTTCCATCCTTAGGCAATAAAAAAACATTTAATAAGTAAATTTTATTCTGATGATTCTTCTGAGTCACTTTCAAATTCTATTTCTTCTTCCTTTCCTTTCATTATATGTGGCTTTTCTACAAACTCAAACAACCCTCCTANAAGTAAAGCACTTTTTTTAATTTCTAAACAAGCTTTGTTAATTTCTAACACTCCTTGGTCTCCATCTTTACAAATCTTATAAACTGAAAAAATAGGAGATTTTATCAAAGAAATGTTTATTTCATCTTTTAATTTCAGTGCTGAAAGTAAAATTTTTTTAATAATATTGATTCCTTCTTTTTTGTAGCAATTAACTTTGATTTGTGCCATGACTTTTACTTTTGATGGCTTAAATCTCAGTTTGACACTTTCTATTACTTCTTCTTTATATTTGTGTACTAAATCAGGGTTCTCTTGTACCTTAGAAAAATAATTAAACAATGTTTTGTATTCTTTTGCCATTGGCCAACCGAATTCTCTATAAAGTTGTTCTAAATCAATATCTAATCTTTTGGCTATTGTTATCATTGTGTTATGAGCTAATTTATTTTTGTAATGTAATTTTAAACAGTCAGCCTTTTCTTGTTGTGTTACCTTAATTTTACTCAGGTCAATGTATCCTTTTGATTTATCTACCCTTGTAACTATTGCGATCTCAATTTTACCTGTTTTAGCTGCTTTTTGTGCATTACTAATCCTTTTTCTGGTAAGTTCACCTATTACAATAAGCCCTTCTATGTTGTTATACTCTGTTAATAAAATAAATACGCCCAAATCGGTTATTTTAGAAACTCTTCCTACCACAATGTCTCCTTCGGAAGGGTAAACTTGTTCGTGGTATCTGCACTGAAAATCTTTCATGGATTATTAAATTATTTTTTAAAAAAATATTTTTTTAGAAAATTTAAAAATGGCCAGAACGGGACTCGAACCCGCGCCTCCGAAGAGACCAGCGCCTTAAGCTGGCGCCTTAACCACTCGGCCATCTGACCAATAATTGAAATATTATTTAATAAACTTTAAAAATTATACTATTTTTTATATTTTTTAAAAGAAATTATTAAGTTTAATTTTTTAAATATAATTAAAAAATATTATTTTTATATTCCCATGGAAAAGAAAATAACATTAAATGATTTAATAAATGAAAATTATAAAGAAAGAAACATAACGCATGAATTAATAAAAGAAGACTTACAAAAAATCGCACACAAACAAACAAAAAAATCTTCTTTTTATGACCATATTCCTACTACAGAATTAGAAAGAAATTTAAATGAAGTTATTTCGAGAAATTCAGTATGCCAAAAAAGAAGAGAAAAGAATATTTTGTTTGAGTTTGATAGGAAAATGCATAGAATAAACAAAATAAAAAGTAAAACTTACAGAAGAATGAGAAGAAAAGAGAAAGCTAAACTGAAAGAATTGATAGAAGAAAGTGACAAAGAAATTGTAGAAGAAACTTCTACAGAAAAAGAAAGCACCTCAGAAGAAGAATCTTTACCAAGACAAGAAATTTCAGAAAAAGAGGAAAGTAAAGAATCTTTGGATGAAGAAAATGAAAANNATTTTTTAGAAGAAAAGAAAATAGAAGTAGAACAATGTGAAGAAAAAGAAAGAGAAATTGTTTTACCGGGATGGGGTGCCTGGGGTGGTGAAGGTTTAGAAATCACTAAAAATAAATTTAACACTATCAAGGAAATAAAGGAAGGAACAAAAAGAGAGGATATTTATCTTAAAAATGTGATTATTAACCCAAACAAACCAATTTTAGATGAAAAGTATTTTTCTTCCCTGCCTCCGTCTGTCAGTGAAACTATTTTTAAAAAGAAAATTAATTCTTCTGTTTCTAAAGAGTGTAATTCTTTAAGAGTGTTTAATTTATTTGTTAAGTCAAAAAATAAAAAGAGTGAAGAAGTTTTGGAAGAATTTTGTTATGAACCAATGGAAGAATAAAAAATAATTATATTNNNTTTATATTTTTTTTATTTTTAGAAATGATTATTTTTTATTTTTTTATTTTTAAATTTAAACAATTTTATTTTTAAAAATAATATTTTATAATTAAAATTAATTATTTTTTTATTTATAATTTACCAAGACTGTTAAATTTAAGCAAAGTTTCTAAAGCTTCATTGTAAATTTCTTTTTCCTTTTCAAAAAATAATTCATTAATTTCTTTTTTTTGAATCAAACACTCAAAAAGAAAATTCACTCTTCTAACTGCCACTTTCTTAAAAAAAGACAAATCATTATAAAAATATTTTACCAAAGCATAAAAATTAGGATTTTGTTTGGTAAAATCTTCTGGTAAAGCATTAGCCCTGAGAATGTGTTGTGTTTCTAATGAAACTATATCACTTAGTATTTCGCATTCCTCATCATTGATAATGTGTTCTAAGGAAAAGAGTGGTGCTTCAAAGGTAGTATTTGCTTCTACTTTATGCGGAAAAGATATATTTGATTTTAACCTTATTTTAATTTTCTGTTCTTCTAGCAAAATGTCATCCAAATCAAAATATTTTAACATAAAATTTCTATTTTTTTATAAAAAATAAATTTATAATTTATGCTAATTTATGGAGGTATCAGATGAAGAAGGAGAGATTCTGTCAGTTCCAACACTACCACTTAACATTCATGAATGGACACATCCTTTTATTAAAAAATTAGGAGAAGGCACCTTTGGCACAGTTTACTTATCATCCAAGGACAATAAACTATATGCCTTAAAGAATCTTAATTTAGATGAAAGACATAAAAATGGTCTTTGTCTAACAATCTTAAGAGAACTGAAAATTATCAGAAAACTAAACCATAAAAATATTTTAAAAATACAACAAATTGCCACACAGGGATTTTATTTTAACAATTTTGACAGGAAGAAAGTTAAAATTTTTTTTGTGTTTGAATATTTTAAATTTGACTTAGAAAAATTAATAAAAAAAAGAAATTTAAAAATAGAAGAAATAAAAAAAATATTTAAACAAATTGTTGAAGGAATGGTTTATTTAAAAAATCAAAATATTTTGCACAGAGA